TGAATTCCCTGCCACCCACCTCCAACAAGGGGCCTGTGTCTAAACCCAATTACAGCACCTCTAAAGAAAAAACTATGTAAACATTTACAACCAATTTTTCTAAGATTAGCTTTTCATTATCTTCTATACTTTTATAATATGGGGCAATATGCCATCCTTAATGTTCTTATCTTACTGAATGGAATCATGTATATGGTACCTGTTAGGATAAACATTTTTTTTTTTTTTTAGAATCAAGCAAATTAGTCTAAAACATGATATCATTACCATTAAGTGGTTTATTTTGTATAATAAAGTAACTATATTAAGAAAAGGGTAGCAGAGGTGAGTACATTTTTGGATCTTCGGAGTCTTTACTTTCATATCACAAGTTTTAAAGTAAATTTATAATATAAAGACAGAGATAAAAGTAACATAATGTTAAGCAAAACTGACCACGAAAATCAAAACCTTAGAACTAAAAAAGGGTAAGGGACAGTGTTTTGATAGAAATGTCAATTCATTTTAATCTTTCTGTCTTACTATATGCTACTAAGTGTGTTCTTCAACTATCCCAGTGAAGCAGGGTACATCAGGCACTAAGCCACCATTAGTGCTAAACAACAAAAACCTTTGTCATTCTCTGACTCATTCACGGATCAAAATAAGTAAATAAATTTTTATTTAAAACAGAGACATGTCCACATCTGTGTTACAGATATGTCCAGATCAATTACTTCAGGTCCATGGTTTCCAGCGTGCAGTCCCTAGAAATCGGCATCAGCCTCAGAGCTTTGAGAAGGGCAAATTCTTGGACCCCAGGCCAGACCTCTTCAGTGAGAAACTCTGGGGGTGGGGCCCAGCAATCGGCGCTTTAATAAGCCCTACAGGTGATTCTGATGCCCATTAATGTTTGAGAAACACTACTTTAAATAACACGTGAAGGCTATTTTTTTCTTCCTCATTTATTCAATACTTTGATGCTAACTGCGTATTTGAATACCTTTCATCAAAACCACTGGGAATAGCAAGTAAACTTTCGACCAATAAAAATCCCAGAAGACAAAGAGCAATGCAATGTTCCTAAGGAGACTGAACCACATAGGCATCCTGGGTTTTACTAATTCACTTGTCTGGAGTCCAAGATGGAGGCGCAATATACCTAAAACCAGACTTTTCCCATCCCTGGTTCACTGCCTGGGACACCTGCATCCCTCCCTAATCTCACCATCTAGTCTTGAATCTTTGGGTGAAACCCCTAGGACAATTCACTCCCTGCCCAGTGAGCTAATATATCTCACACGTATCTTGAGTGATGCATGCATCACATAAGTAAAAGCTGCCAGTAAGCTCCTTTACAATTATGTTTAATATGTACATATGCATGTACCTGTGGGCATACATACACGATATGGAAATATTTGAATATATAGCTGTCTCCCCTACAGCCTTGAACTCCTTTAGATGAGGGACTATACCATATTCGTTTTGGTTTCCCAAGTGTCTAGCAAATGCCTACACGGGATATGCTTGTAGAATGAATGTTACTATGGTAGTAACATAATTTGCAACTCACTTTCTCAGAGAATAATGAAGAACTAGGCTAAATTCACCTGAAACCAATAGAGTCACTCAGGCAGACAGAACTTTAGTATTTAAACTGACCATGGAAAAGTTTCTAAATGTAAGGACAGCCTAAAACCATTTGCTAAATACCATTTCAATAACATTAACTAAAGCCTCTTTTAATAATCCTTCTGCAACATTATCAGAAGAGGACATTTCTTCTTGATCCTAGCAAGAGATTACCTAGTGTCTGATGCATGAATATTAATAATCTTCATAATTTTATTCCAGTAAGTGCAATCGCAGATACTATTTTTTCACTCAGATACTAATTTTTCACTTAAATCAAATGTCTGGAAGTTTTTTGAATCTTAATTTATCTCCAAGAAATTCTATAGTGACTCCTAACCTTTTTTGGAATCACAGTAATCATTTTTGTTGATTATAAATCCCCACCTTTCTAAAATGTACTATAAAGTAAATATTTATTTTTAAACAAAATGGTACATGTGTTCTCCAACTTAATCAAAGAGTGCAGGAATTCAAAGACACAGCTTTGACACCACAAGTTGCTGATTGCTCCACTGTGATTTCTTTAAAGTTAAGAGGCTTTATCTGTCGTTCATTCAAAAAAAGTTATTGAGTGCCTAATAGGTGGCCAGCACAATGTTAAACTTGATATATAAAAATAATGAATTTCCTAAAATAGTTTTGAAGATCACTAGGTAGCATCTACCACTTTGCTAATTCTTTGAATTATCAATTCTTTCATTGTCAGGAGTCATAAAAGCTCAGAAAGCTGAACTAGTTTTGTACACACATACATATATGTATATATGCACACAAATATACTGCCTCCACACATTCTCCCTCCTCTCAGTTGGCATGGCTAGTACCCCAGCCTCCCAAATGTCCAGAGAAAACAGTATAAAATCATGATTCTTTTCCAAAAGTGACCATCAACTACATAATGGATATATTTTAAAGTATAAATGTCAATTAATTCTTAGTGCTTAAATTCAATATATGTTGGGATTTCTCAAAATCTTTCTAAACAATAACATGGCAGTAAAATCCTTAAGTGATTCACCTGATATCCTGGCGTGAAGATTCTGCTTCATGGAGACACCTTCAAGCTGAGAAAGGGACTGGAGAATTGTCAAGGCTGATCTTTGAAGTGCACTATCAAAAATAGTTAGCACTTCATTAGGGAACACGTTGAAATATTCCCCGATTTCCATGTTGGTCTCAAAAAGGGTCATGGCATTAACCACAACTGGGTAATGAGCATCTTCATCTCTTTCCTTCAAGATGAGAAGAATATCGTTCTTATGGTATTCCGAAACATAAGACTCAAACACTTGACCAACCAGTGTAACTTGATCGCTATTCATCTTGGATCTAGGTAACAAAAGAAAGACAAAGGACTGTATTATACCTTTGATTTTCTAGACTTATACACTAGTTTACAAAAAGATTGGTTATAAATCATTCTGACTTTGGGCCACACTCTAATCTCAAAATACTATCTGAATTCAAATCTTAATTAGATCTGACAGAGTCACAGTCACTTATCAAATTTATTTTTTTCAGTGAGTGAAGTTAATTTTAAGTCAAAGAATTATGTTGGTACTGATAACCGAAATCCAAAATGGTCCAATGCCTTGCCCATATCTTTTCCCCAAACTTCCTCCTCTTAACCCTATAATACGTCATGTAAAAGTCCTTTGCCTTTTCTTTAATCAGATTCCATATATGCGTTTGCTCTCAAGTATAAAATCTTAAATGCCAGTCTTTTGGTTTAAGTTACTCCTAGTAGAGTTCTTTGCAAGCATCCTGGTTCTACATTTTAGTCACATAAAAAACGTATCTTTCTCTCTGTCTCCCCACAACCTAGTTACATACACGCACGCACGCGCACATTCATTTGTATTCTGCTACTTAAACAGAACACACACTACTATTCAGATTGGTCAGCAATTCTGACTTAAATAGTTAACAAATTGGCTTTAGAAATTTACATTTGGAGGTGAACTTGTTCCTATTTTCTTTTTCTAACCTAGGAAAACTATTAGCTTCAGCAAAAACAGCTGTCAAGAGTCTAAAAAAACTAGATCATTAAACTGAGGAAAGGAAATTGGTCTCTAATAAATCACTATGATTGAAAGTAAATACAGTATATTAAATTCCTGGCTATATGTATATATTTTTAAATTTGTACCTACAGATTAAAAGGGCCTACCCCCATTCTATTTTCATGTATACACGTAGATATCTACCATGTACAAGGCACTATTCTGGGAAATGAAAAAAGCATAATAAAAGGTCCTCTATGCCCTCAAAGAACCAAGGTACAGATCAAATGAAACGGTGCTCTAACAGTGGCAAAAATGCAATACAAATAGGAGCACAAAGAAGAGAAGGATTAAATTTAAATGCAGTGATAATCCCAGATGTGACAATGGACAGTTACAAATAAACTGTCCAAACGGATCATTTAAGAAATTCTTATTAGTCAAAGGATAAGTGTCCTCTGACTAATTTCGTTCAACCAATGTTTATTGTACTAGGCTTTAGAAACAGAAAGATTAAAGAAGATTATGACATTCACAGTTTAGCATCCTAAATATGTATTACACGTGCTATTAGCAATATTTGCCTTCTACTAGAAGGTGTGTGGGGAGGGGCATGGTATACCACAGTTAGGTCAAGAATCCTGACACCTAGAGGATGCCAATGTGAGATTAAGAGATGTGTAGGCCACTATATTGGTAAGTATTTAGTTTGGGTTAGGTAATATAAATTCACCTAAGCATAAAGCAGAAAAAGCACTTGGGAAGGAACAGCTAATCATACAATATATTCACGATGTGGCCGTTGCTAAAAAAAAAAAAAAAAATCTGGAATCCCAAGAGTGGCTATAAAATAATCTCTAAGATTCTATAAATGCATATTAAATTTGGAGCCACAAATTTAGCAATTTAAAAGGCAGTTCCACATAGGGCAGGAAGGAGACAGCCGCAGAATTCATGGTTCAGATTAAGATCAGATTAAATTTCGCCTAGTCTTTCTGAAATAGCATCACTAAAAAAAATAGCACTCACTTTCAATACCTGGACACAACTGACTAATCAAATATTTCTTAGCAGTTTGCAAACGCTAGAAACATGCTCACCCAGATTGACTGGTGGCAGTGTTTTACAACTTTCAAGTTCCGTTTCCTTTTCCTTATGGAACATTTGAAGACAAAATCAATAAAGACAAGTTGTGCTACCTTATCCTCTTGAGTAAACTGCCAACAAGAAAAATCCGGGAGAATGCATCAGCGGCTATCTAGCTGGCTCCCAGGCGCCAGCCCGCCCCCCGCCGCACCGCCCCTCCGGGAGCCACGCCCCTCCGCGTCCCAAGACCCTCCCCGCTGGCACCGCCCCTTCCCCGCCCGCCCGCTTCAGGTCGGCGCCTCCTTCATGCCTGGCTCGCCGCGGGCGCTCGGCAAACGTGGAGGCGATTTGTGCCCAGAGAACTGCTTTCCACACTTCCGTCTCTGGACGTAGCCCGTACCCTACAAGAATTCGGCAGGTCTCTGACACTTCCCAGGCTCGGCTGCGGGCAGCTCCATCGCCGGCCTGGTCCCAGAGTTGAATAGTTTTGGAACTAACCAGGGTGTGGGCGAGACTTGGGACGCACTATGGGAAAAATAATAATGGTGCAACAAGGCAGCGGCTGTCACTTACTGGCGGATACGCGGTGTAAGAAGTCACCGAGGGCGCAGTGCTCCCGAGGCCGAGGGGCGCGGAGAGTTCAAGCCGATCGGCGGGGTCCAAAGAGGCGGGAGGAGGCCCGGGTGGGGGCGGGGCGCGCGCGTGGGGCCGCGCGGGGCGCCGTCGGCCGCGGGGGCGCGCAGGCTCCAGCGCGCCCACCTTGCGCCCGGACGAGATAGGCGCCACGCGGGCGGCTCTGCCGGCCCCGCGCTCCCGAGGGGCGCCGGGACGTGCACTGCCTCAACTTGGCGGCTCAGGTGGCTCTTCCGGGTGGAGAAGCGGGCGGGCGCGCGCCCCACCAGCCGCCGCGGGACGAGAGGGGCGGGGCAGGGCTGGCTGGGAGGGGCGAGTAGGGTCCCGGGCGGGACTGGGCGGAGCCGCCGCTCGGTAGTGGGGAGGAGTGCCGGGCTGTGCTTTGGCTATGAGGGAGTGTACGGCCCGGGCTTTCCGGCTCAGAACTCCGCCAAAGCCAAGGCCACAACGATTATCTGTCTGCTTCTAGAAGTTTTAGAATGAAGGTTTTATGTCTAGGTCTATGATTCATTTTGAGCTAATTTTTGGAAATGATGCGAAGTGTGGATCTTAGGTAACTTTCTATCATATGGATATCTACCACTATTTGTTGAAAGAGCTGTATTTTTTCCACGGAATAGCCTTTGCACCTGTGTCAAAAGTCAGTTGTCCTTATATGTGGGCCTAACACTTAATATTTCTGTTCCCCAATCTATTTGTCTAACTATAAGAACACGACGTTGTCTTAATTACTCTAACTATAATGAGTCTTGAAAGCGGGTAGTGTTTGGCCTCCAATTTTGTTCTTTCAAAGTTGTTTGGGCTCTTCTCTTTCAATATGAATTTTAAAGCCGGCTTGTCATTTTCTATTAAAAAGCTGGGATTTCTGTTGGAGTTGCATGGAATCTATAGGTCAATGTGGGAAGAATTTATATGTTAATAATATTGAATCATATGACCCTTGAACAAAGTAAACCTCACCATTTATTTAGGTGTTATATAATTTCAAAAATGTTTGATCTTTTGTCAGATTTATGTCTCAAATTTATCCCTAAAATCATGGGGAAGGAGGAACCATACTTTTTAAAAAATTTTTATTTACTTTTGGCTGCGTTGGGTGTTTCTTTGCTGCACGCAGGCTTTCTCTAGTTGCGGCGAGCGGGGGCTACTCTTCCTTGTGGTGCGCGGGCTCCTCATTGCGGTGGCTTCTCTTGTTGCGCAGCACGGGCTCTAGGCGCGCTGGCTTCAGTAGTTGCAGCACATAGGCTTAGTAGTTATGGCACGTGGGCTCTAGGCGCGTGGGCTTCAGTAGATGTGGTGCACGGACTTAGTTGCTCCACGGCACGTGGGATCTTTGTGGACCAGGGCTTGAAGCCGTGTCCCCTGCATTGGCAGGTGGATTCTCAACCACTGAGCCACCAGGGAAGTCCAAGGAACCATACTTTTTGATGCTATGTAAATGATATTTTCAATTTCAATGTCTGGTTCTTTTCTAGCATGTAGAAATACAATTGATTTTTTAAATTTTATTATTAAAATTTTTAAATTAATTTTTTTTTTTTAGAGCAGTGTCAGGTTCATAGCAAAATTGAGCAGGAAGTACAAAGATTTCCTTTATGATCCTTGCCCCCACACACCCACAGCTTCCCTATCAATATCCCTTTACCAGAGTGGTGGGTTTATTACAACTGATGAACCTGCATTAACACATCATCATCACTCAAAGTCCACGGCTTATAGTAGGGTTCACTCTATGTGTTGTACATTCTGTCCGTTTTGACAGATGTATAATAACATGCATCCACCCCTGTAGTATCATACAGAATAGTTTCACTGCCCTAAATAAAAATCTTCTGAATTCTGGCTGTTCATCCTTCCCTCCCACCTAACCCCTAGCAACAACTGATCTTTTACTCTCTCTATAGTTTTCCAGGATATCATATAGTTGAAATCATACAGTATGTTGCCTTTTCAGACTGGCTTTTTCACTTAGTAATATATATTTAAGGTTCCTTCATGTCTTTTCAAGGCTTGGCAGCTCATTTCTTTTTGGTGCTGAATAATAGTCCATTATCTGGACGTATCACACTTTATCCACTCACCTACAGAAGGACATTTTGGTTGCTTCCAAGTTTTGCCAATTATGGCTAAAGCTGCTATAAACATCCACGTGCAGGTTTTGCCGTAAGTTTTCAGCTCCTTTGGGTAAATACCAAGGAGCATGATTGCTGTATCATATGATAAGAGTAGTTTTGTAAGAAACCATTAAAATGTCTTCCAAAGTAGCTGTACCATGTTGCATTCCCATCAGCCATGAATGAGAGTTCCTATTGCTCCATATCCTCTCCAGCATTTGGTGTTTTCAGTGTTTTGGATTTTAGTCATTCTAATACATGTGTAGTCTCTCATTATTATTTTGCTTTGCATTTCCCTGATGACATATGATGTTGAATATCTTTTCATCTGCTTAATTTTCATCTATATATCTTCTTTGGTGAGGCATCTTCAGGTCTTTTGCCCATTTTTAAATAACATTGCTTACTTTCTTATTGTTGAGTTTTAAGGATCCTTTATCAAATGTGTGTTGCAAGTATTTCATCCCAGTCTGTGGCTTGTCTTCTCATTTTCTTGACATTTTCATTCACAGAGCAGATTTTTAATTTTAATTAAGTCCAGCTTATCGATTGTTTCTCTCATGGACTGTGCTTTTGGTGTTATATTTAATAAGTCATCACCCCAGAGTATCTAGATTTTCTCCTCTGTTCTAGGACTCTTACAGTTTTGTGTTGTACACTTAGGTCTATGATCCATCTTGAGTTAATTTTTGTGAAGAATGTAACGTCTGTGTCTAGATGTGTGTGTGTGTGTGTGTGTGTGCACGTGCCTGTGGACATCCAGTTGTTCCAGTACTATAACAGAGAAGAACAAACTTGACTCCATGTTGAATCTATTCCTTTAGCTCTAACCCTTGTGCTCTGTTGCCTGTGCTTAGTCATGCTGGCTCTGAACCTTTTATAAAAGAATGTTGCCTATAGCCTGAAATATACGGGATAGCCCATTCTCAAGGCTCTGACCTTTAAAGCTGTAACACTTTTCCATTCATATAGAGATAAAAAGTTGCGGAACAGAGAATAACATCTGTCTTGTTGGAGGTTTATAGGAATATTGTGACCAGACCTACCTGGACAGCTGCAAGAACAAAGGATTCCAGCACCAAGAAGTTTACAACAACCAGCCACACCCCTCTCCCCTTTTAGCACAAAAGAAGCCTGAGTTCTAACTGAGGAAAGATGGTTCTTTGGGACACCATCTTCTCAGTCTGCTGGCTTTCTGAATAAAGTTGCTATTCTTTGCCCTAACCACTCGTCTGTCGATTTATTGGCCTGTTGTGTGGCAAGCGGTAAGAGCTTGGACTCGGTAATAGTATCATTTGTTGAAAAGACTATCTTTGCTCCATCTGTCAACGATTTGTATTGCCTTTGCTCCTTTGTCAAAGATCAGTTGGCTATATTCATGTGGGTCTATTTCTGGGCTCTCTATTCTGTTCCACAGATCTATTTGTCTATTCTTTCACAAATACCACACTGTCTTGATTACTGTGGTTTTATAGTGAGTCTTGAACTCAGGTATTGTTAGTAGTCCTCCAACTTTTTTCTTCTCCTTCAATATTGAGTTTGCTATTCTGGGTCTTTTGCCCTTTCACATAAACTTTAGAATCAGTTTGTCAACATTCACAAAATAACTTGCTGGGATTTTGATTGTGATGAGATGACTCTATAGATCAAGTTGGAAAGAGCTGACATTTTGACAATATTGAATCTTCTATCCATGAACATGGAATATCTATCTCTTCACTTATCTAGTTCTTCTTTGATATACTTTATCAGATTTTTATAGTTTCTGTCATATACATATTGTATATATTTTCTTAGATTTACACCAAACTATTTGTTTGGGGAGGGTGTTAATGTAAATGGTAATACATTTTTAATTTCAAATTCCACCTGTGCATTGCTGGTATATAAGAAAGCACCTGACTTTGCATGTTAACCTTATATCCTGCAATCTTGCTATAATCACTTATTAGTTCTAGAAGTTTTTTTGGTAGATTTTTTCCATATTTTCTATATAAACAGACATGTCGTATGCAAATAAGGACAGCTTATTTCTTCCTTCCCGATCTGTATGCTTTTTATTTCCTTTCTTATTTCATAAAGTAGGACTTCCAGTATGATATTGAAAAGCAGTGATGAGAGGGGACATCCTTGCCTTGTTACTTTCTTAGTAGGACAGCTTCAATTTTCTCACCATTAAGTATGATCTTAGCTGTAGGTTTCTTGTAGATGTTCTTTATCAACTTGAGGAAGTTCCCCTCTATTTCTAGTTTGCTGAGAGTTTTTATCATGAATGGGTGCTGGATTTTGTCAAATGCTTTTTCTGCATCTCTTGATATGATCCTGTGATTTTCTTTCATTATCCTGACCATGTGAGGGATTACATTAATGGATTTTTAGATTGGAACCAGCCTTACATATCATGATAAATCCAACTTGGGTGTGGTGCCTAATTCTTTTTATACAATGTTAGATTCAATTTGCTAATATTTTGTTAAGGATTTTTGCATTTATGTTCATGAGAGATATTGGTCTGTGGTTTTCTTGTAATGTCTTTGTAAGATTTTGGTATTAGTGTAATGCTGGCCTGAAAGAATGAATTAGGAAGTATTCTCTCTGCTGTCGTGTTCTGGAAGATTGTAGAGAATTTGTATAATTTTGTCCCTAAATGTTTGATAAGAATTCACCATTAAACCTATGAACCTGGTGCTTTCTGTATTAATTTTATATATATATATATGTGTGTGTGTATATATATATATACAATATATATATATTATATATATATACATATATAAGCCTATTCAGACTCTATTTGTTCTTTTGGCAGATTGTGTCTTTCAAAGAATTGGTCCATTTCATCTAGGTTATCAAATTTGTGGGCATAGAGTTGTTTGTAATATTTCATTATGATCCTTTTAATGGCTGTGAGATCTTTAATAATATCCCCTCTCTCATTTCTGATATTAGTAATTTGTATTTTCTCTCTCTTTTTCTTGGGCTAGAGGCTTATCAACTTTATTGGTCTTTTCAAAGATTTTCTCTATTGATTGCCTCTTTTCAGTTGCATTGATTTCTATTCTGATTTTTATTATTTCTTCTCTTTTGCCTACTTTGGATTTAATTTGCTCTTCTTTGCCTGGTTACCTAAGATGGAAGCTTAGATGATTGATTTTGGATTTTTCCTTTATTCTAATATATGTATTCTATGCTATAAATTTCTCTCTAGGCACTGCTTTCACTGCATCTCACAAATTTTGATAAATTGTGTTTTCATTTTCATTTAGTTTAAAATATTTTAAGATTTTCTTTTGAGTTTTTTTCTTTGACCCCTTTGTTATTTAGAAGTGTGTTGCTTAATCTTCAAGTATTTTGTGTTTTTCCATCGTTCCTTCTGTTATTGATTTCTAGTTTACTTCCACCATGGTCTGAGAGCAGACACTGTATGATTTCTGTTCATTTAAATTTGTTAAGGTGTGTTTTATGGCCCAGTATGTGGTCTGTCTTGGTCAATGTTCTATGTTAGTTTGAGATGAATGTAATCTGCTGTTATTGGATTAAGCAGTCTATAGATGTCCATTATATCCAGTTGATTGATAGTGTTGTTGAGTTCAACTATGGCCTTACTGATTTTCTGCCAGCTGGATCTGTACATTTCTATAGAGGGGTGTTTAAGTCTCCAACTATAATTTAGATTCATCTGTTTCCCCCTTGAGTTCCATCAGTTTTTGGCTTACATATTCTGAGGCCCATACATATTAAGGATATGTGTTATGTGTTCTTGGTGTGTTGATTCCTTTATCATTATGTAATGCCTCTCTCTCTCCCTGACAACTATTCCTGCTTTGAAGTCCACTCTGTCTGAAATTAATATAGCTACTGCTTTCTTTTGACTAGTGTTAGTATGGTATATCTTTCTTTATCCCTTTACTTTTAATCTATAGGTTTTTATCTTTAAAGTGGGTTTCTTATAGAAAACATATAGTTGGGTCTTATTTTTTTAATCCACTCTGACAATCTCTGACTTTTAATTGGTGAATTAAGACCATTAGACATACAAAGTGATTATTGACATGGTTGGATTAATATCTACTATATTTGTTAGTCTTTTCTACTTGTTACCCTTGTTCTTTTTTCCTATATTTGCCTTCCATACTTTTTCTGCCCTTTGTGGTTTTAATTGAGCATTTTATATAATTCCATTTTCTCTCCTTTCTTAGCATTCAGTTGCTTCCTTTTTCATTTTAATTGGTTGCCTACTAGAATTTACATTATAACTATCTAAGTCCACTTTCAAATAACATTATACCACTTCAAGGGTAGTGCAAATATTTTATAGTAGCAAAGTAATCCTGAATCTTCCCTCCTATCACTTGTATCATTGCACTCATCTATTTTGTTTATATAAGCTTATAAGACTTAGATATGCATAATGACTACATTGTTGCTATTATTATGTCGAACAAATTGTTGTCTGCTAGAGCAATTAAGAATAGGAAAAATAGAAGTTTTGATTTTATTTTTATTTAGTCCTCCTTCAATACTCTTCCTTACTTTATATAGATCTGAGTTTCTGACATATTATTTTCCTTCTCTTCAAAGGACTTTTAACTTTTCTTGCTAGGCAGGTCTGCTGTCAGCAAACTCACTCAATTTTTGTTTGTCTGAGAAAAATCTTTATTTTTACTTCACTTTTGAAGGGTAATTTTGCAGGGTACAGAATTCTACGTTGGTGGGATTTTTCTCTCAACACTAAATATTTTACTCTACTTTCTTCTTGCTTGCATAGTTTCTGAAGGTAAGTTGAATATAAATTTTATCTCTGTTCCTCTACAAGTGTTTTTTTTCCCCCCTGACTTCCTTCAGGATTTTTTATCTTTATCATTAATTTGACATAAATTTGGTGGAAGTCCTCAGTCATTATTACTTTAAATATTTCTTGTGTTCCTTTCTCTTACTAGTTTTGGTATTCCCATTATTTGTATGTTATACCTTTTGTAATTGTCACACAGTTCTTGGATATTCCAGTGGGGTTTTTTTTTTTTTTCAGTCTTTTTTCTCTTTGCTTTTCAGTTTTGGAGGTTTCTACTGATACATCCTCAAGCCCAGAGGTTCTTTCCTCAGCTGTGTGCAGTCTGCTAATGAGCCCATCAAACACATTTCTTATTCAGTTACAGTGATTTTAATCTGTAATATTTCTTTTTGCTTCTTTCTTAGAATTTCCATCTCTCTGCATACATCACCCATCTGTTCTTGCATGCTGTCTATTTTATCCATTAGAGCCCTTAGCATATTAATCATAGTTTTAAATTTTCAGTGTGATAATTCCAACATCCCTGCCATATCGGAGCCTGGTTCTGTTGCTTGCTCTGTTTCTTCAAACTGTGTGGGGTTTTTTTTCTTTTAATATATCATATAATTTTTTGTTGAAAGATGGAGATGATGTACTGGATAAAAGTGCTGTAAATATGCCTTTAGTAATGTGGTGGTATGGTGTGGAGTGGGAAGAAGTTCTGTAGTCCTGTGATTAGGTGTCAGTCTTTTAGTGACTGGATTATCTTTGCCACTGGATTATGAAGTTTGCATGTTCTTCTCAGTCCCTTCCCCAGTTATGTGGGACAGGATGGTTAGAATGGGCTGGAACTGGATATTTTCCTTCTCCCATGTGGAAGGCTAAAGGAGGCTGGAGTTGTGTATTTTCCTTCCTTCATGTGGAAAGCTAGATCCAGCTGGAGATGGATATTTCCCTTTCCCAAGGTCAATTAGTCTCTGATAGACCCCAGCAGGTTAGGCTCTGGTTAAATAGTTTCAGCTGAGGGCAGAGCTTATTAAGAAGAACAGAATGCTCTGGTGTATTTCAAAATGGCTCTCTTTCCCCAGCTCCTGCCAGAAGCAGGAAGGGATTTTTCTCCAGTATTTACTGTGAGAACCTGATGAACTCCTGGAGGTAAAACCCACAAAAGTGTGAGTGGGCCCCTCTGGAGTTTTTAACTTTTCAGACTTGCCTGCACCAAGCCTCCAGTGATTTGTCAATTACTGTTCAAGTTTTCCTACCCCAGCACCAGTTCCTGTAGAAGTTTTCAGCTCATGAGTTTCTACTCTGGTAAGTTGTGATTCTCTGTTGTCTCTTCAGTTTGGAGGGCAATAATTTGCCCTGTGACCTCACTCTCATGGATTTAAGAAGAGTTGTTGATTTTTCAGTGTTTCAGGTTTTTACTTGTTAGAACTGAGTGGCAATTTTCAGGTTTCTGCTGGACAAGAAATCAGACATCTCAATCATCTTTTAAAGAAATTTAAATAACAAGAAAATAATTGTATATATTTATGCATGCAGTTATGATTTCCAGTGCTCTTTCATTATTTATTCATGTATTTTCTGTACCTCTTCCCTTTGGCTCCTTTGCAAATTTTCTACTTATCACTGGGTTCAGCAGTTTGTGATTTGCCTGGATGTATTTTTCTTCAATTTCTTGTTGAAAATGAAAAACTCAGTTTTTTCTGTGTTCCTTTCTATGTAGGAAAAAAAAAAAAGTTTTTTTCCTACTATGTGTTTTTTCTCTGTGAGTCTCCTTTAGTCCTCACAAAAAACACTTCACTTCTGAATACCAAATGTGTGGGGGCTTTACCCCACAAAAACACGCACGTCTGACACCAGTGGGGTGTCTTACAATTTAACCATGTTCTATTATTATCTACCCAGAGCTAGCATCAGATCCCATAGGTTAAGGGCTCAGTCCCACAAGATTGAACCCCTCCTCCCCACACACACATACTTCAGACGCCAGTTGCAAGCCCAGGTTATCACCTGTGCTTCTGACCAATCTGCTGTAGATCAGAGGTTCCAACAACCCCCTCTTTGGGTTTGATCAATTTGCTAGAGCAGCTTACCGAACTCAGGGAAATACTTATGTTTACGTTTATAAGGATATGATAAAGGATACAGATGAACACCAGATAAAAAACTACAATAAGATCATGTCTGGGAAAGCCCCTGAGTAGCTTCTGTCCCATGGAGTTGGGGTGCATCATCCTCCTGGTGTCGAAGTGCTGGCTGACCTGGAAGGTCTCCAAACCCCATACTACTGGGATTTTACGGAGGCTTCCTCACATAGGCATGGTCTGTTATTAACTGTTTCCAGCCCCTCTCCCCTCTCTGGAGAAATGTGAGAGACTGGCTTAGTCTTTCTGGTGACCAGCCCCATTCAGGAGCCATCCAGGAGCCCTTTAGAGTCTTCTCAATAGAACAAAAGATGCTCCCACTCCTCTTATCACTTAGGAGTTTACAAGGGTTTTCAGAGCACTATGTCAGGAACAGCGTCAAAGATAAATATTAGAGATGCTCCAGTGTTCTTATCACTTAGGAAATTACAAGGATTTCAGGAGTTCTGTGCCAGAAACCAGAGGCAAAGCCCAGTATAGTTGATTCTTGAAAAATGTGGGGATTAGGGGTATTGATCACCTGCATTGTCGAAAATTCGCATATAACTTTACAATCAGCCCTCCATACCTGCAGTTCCACATCCAAGGATTCAGCCAACCTCACATGATGTGTACCATGGTGTGTATTTATTGAAAAAATCCACATATAAGTGGACCTGCACCATTCAAATCTGTGTTGTTCAAGGGTCAAATGTATATACCTTCTGTTATCTCACACTTGTGTTTTGGATTTGTTGAGTTTCTTGGATCTGTGGGCTTATAGTTTTCATCAAATTTGGAAAATATTTTGGCTTCTACTTCTTTTGATATTTTTCTGCTTCCCTTACCCCTGTCCTTTGGGGACTCCAATTATACATATATTATGCTACTTGACTTTGTCCTACAGAACTCACTGATACCCTGAATATTTTGGACTCTTTCATTTTGGATAATTTCTATTGTTATGTCTGTAAGTTCACTAATCTTTTCTTGGGCAATGTCTAATCTGCTGTTAATCCATTCAATGTATGTTACATCTCAGCCATTGTAATTTTCTTCTCCAGAAGTTAGATTTGGGTCATTTAAAAAGTATTTTCTATCATGTCTCTACCTAACATGATCCTCTACCACTTATTGTTCATATTGTTAATTATGTAGTTTTGAATCTTTTATCTTGTTTTATTTCTGTAAATTTTTAGTTGTATAGTTTAAAATTATTATACTGTATTACAAGAATTCTTAATTTCTATTTTTGTCCTACTGTTTTGTATTTTCTTTTATTCTACTTTCTCACAATTTACACTCTGCTAAAATGCAAGCAGGAATTTTTGTTGGTTTTGAAGCTACTAAAACAGGGCCTTTCACATAGTAGATTCTGAATACTGTTTGTTGAATTGAATTCTTGTCATATTACTGAAATGTTTGAGCTTATGAATTGGTTCTAGCCTTTAAATATGTTTTTCAGTTTTTAAAATTTTCATCAATTTATTGCATATCCACTACTTTCTTCCTTTGCTCACTCCAATACAGCAACAGTGCTGCTGCTTAGACATTCCTGCTTTTCCTAGCACTTTGCATTTGCTGTTACTCCCGCCTGGAATGCTCACCCCCAGTTCCCTACCTGGTTCAGTCCCCACATCCCCACTCCCTGCCTCATACTCCATGTCTTCCCTCCCTTGTTCTTCTCCATTTTATTTATCATTACCATCTGACAATACACAATTGTGCTTTTTACTGATTTTTTAATCTGTCATATGTATATATGTATACAGATACACTCCCACAACAATATAAGCTCCACAGAGCACACAAAGCAGGTTTTTTGCATTTTTCCCCTCATTGGTATATCCCTAGTCATAAAACAGTTCTCAGCATATTGAAGGTGTGCAACAAATGTTGGAGATATTATTTTTACATGACTAATTTTTTAAAAATTTACTTCAACCTTTGACTTTTTACAGTTTTGTTTTTGGTGAGACTAGTTCACAAGGTTCACAGGATGTCTTTTTCAATGTTTCCTGCTCTGTGAATTCAAACCATGGTCCCTAATAGATTCCAGCCCTCTCCTTAGAAACGGACAGACCTCTTTAAACTCACTTTGAACACATAGATTCATTCTGTCTAGATTTGGCTTCCTAACAAGGATATTTAATATGCCTCCTTTTTTTAATATAAATTTATTTTATTTATTTATTTTTGGCTGTGTTGGGTCTTCGTTGCTGCCCTCGGGCTTTCTCTAGCTGTGGCGAGCGGGGGCTACTCTTTGTTGCTGTGCGCGGGCTTCTCATTGTGGTGGCTTCTCTTGTTGCGGAGCACAGGCTCTAGGTGCACGGGCTTCAGTAGTCATGGTGCATGGGCTCAGTAGTTGTGGCTTGCAGGCTCTAGAGCGCAGCCTCGGTAGTTGTGGAGCACAGGCTTAGTTGCTCCATGGCATATGGGATCCTCCCGGACCAGGGCTTGAACCCATGTCCCCTGCATTGGCAGGCAGATTCTTAACCACTGTGCCACTAGGGAAGCCCTTAATATGCCTATTTTTTACACCCCTCGTTTGAGAGGGCACATTTATTGTTTTGCTGCCTGCTCTCAATTCAACCAATGCAGCACATATTTGTCTCTGACCATCTCAGTGCCACTGTAGGTGATGGTGTTGCTAAATCCTTTATGGAGAGAATATGGATTGGAAGAATATTTTCCCATGGATCACTCCTCAATGAATCAGAGAAAATTTCAAGCTCCAATAATTTATAATGTATTATTTGGAAGGGCAAGTTATAGGAGAAAGTTTTCATAGAGAAACCTTTATCTGTGATCTGAGGAAGCAGTATTCAACTTCAGGGGGTGTGCAAGATGAGCCACTGTGATGAAGAGACATTTATTGGAACTTCTATTTATACATTTTATATATTTTTTTGAGTCTAAAAATAATATATTTAAGTATTTATTGTTGGACTTCCCTGGTGGCACAGTGGTTAAGAATCGGCCTGCCAGTGCAGGGGACACAGGTTCGATCCCTGCTCTGGTAAGATCCCACATGCCGTGGAGCAACTAAGCCCACAAGCCACAACTACTGAGCCCGCGTGCTGCAACTACTGAAGCCCACACACTCTAGGGCCACCTGCCATGACCACTGAGCCCACGTGCTGCAATTACTGAAGCCTGCATGCCTAGAGTCCATGCTCTGCAACGAGAAGCCACCACGATGAGAAGCCCATGCACCGCAACGAAGAGTAGCCCCCACTTGCTGCAACTAGAGAAAGCCTGCACACAGCAATGAAGACCCAATGCAGCCAAAAATTTTAAATTTTAGAAAAAGTATTGTAAAAATTGCAACTGGACCCTTATGTTTATGTCAGATGATTTTCAGGTAAAGTTCTTGAGTTTTCAGGGGAGAGGGGGAGGTCTAAAATTGCATGTGTGGACTGTAGCACTGTACCTCAATTTCTTTGTTTTCTGTTGTGACTGTGTTGCAGTTTGTGTATAGATCTACAGATTATATATTGTTCAGGTTATATCATATTTTTATTATAATGATACAATTAATATGACATTGATGTATTACATTAGTATATAACAATGATATATTATTTAAATATATGTTGTCACCCTACAGATTATATGTCTCTAAATTTAACTAAATTAACATAGAAAAAACTTAGATTATATCATCTACTATCATTAGCCATGAACTGTGCCTGAAGAGGCCTTGAAATATAAATGCCATCACCATAGTGATGGGTTTTTTTCTACATAATGTGTATATCAGTACAATAATATGTGCATCTACATAAATTAGTTACTTCTTTGGGGTTGTGTGCTCACAAACATTTTACTATGGGTATATAATAAACAAACATTGCTTTAGGGTTATGGTGAAAGTTTATGAAAAAGTTAGCCTCCCTTTTTTTTTAAACCATCTTTATAGCTCACCATGTGAATCAAATGCTTATTAAAGGCTGATACCTTGGCTCACCTGAGACTCATGGAATAAGAATCTCTGGAGGTGGGGCCCTGAAGTCAGTATTTTAAACAAGTAACCAAGGTGACTCATGCAGACCAAAACGTGAGAACCACTGTGTTAGATGACGTTTAAATATTTCCCCTCAATCTTAATTTTCAAAATAACAATTTCTGAGCCCATTGGTAACTATATTGTTGAAATTAGAGTATTATAAAAACTAAAATGAA